AAACGCTAGCAAAACGCTGGCGTAACGCTAGCGCTGGTGACGCTGGGAACGCTAGATCGATATGCATCCTCTCCCCGGCACTGCCGCTGGCGTACGCTGGAAGCGCTACGCTACGCTGCCGCAAAGTATAAACGCAGCCTTAGGAGAAGAAATAAAGGTGGTCTGGTTTGCCGCGATATCTCTCTTCGGTCTATTCATGGGCTTGGGGTTGAAAGCTTTTTGTCATCATTAAAAAGTGTAGCATAACTTGGGGTACGGTTCCTTTGTCAAATTAAGGCAACCGGGCCAGTAGGGCAATCACTGGTGCGTTTCACCTTCCGGAAGCGTAGGCACCAGTGAGGAACGCGCATTAGTAATGGTGCCGCGCCCACTGGACATGAATGGAGTCGGCTTTTGACAACGGATGAAGGGGTACGGAGCTAAGTCGATCACAGGTCTGTCTCCCTGAAAAATTTCCCGAGATGTGAGGGCAGCGTTCTTATCAATCTCTGGTGCGGATGGTTTTGAAAGTAAAAAAAAATAAGTTATCACGATAAGTATGAGCTCGCTGCGTGGCCTCGGCCGCTGTGGCCGCAAATTAAGTACGGCTCCAACTGCTTATAGCAATAAAACAATCTGAAATTAAATGATAGGGAAGAGTGCCTCACAATAACACGAAGCCTTTGTCTCACATAGGGGTGACATTCCAATGGTAACACTGAATGAGAAATTCAAATATGGACTTTGTCGCAGTGATTTGCTCTTCTCAAGATTTAGTGTTACTGCACTGATCTCGAACCTCAGTGGGGTAGTGGGGACATTGGTCTTGTAGTCATAAAGTGCCTCAACCATTTCAGGCTCTGAAAACAAGATTTCGTCGAAATGTAAGCAAAGAAAGCTGAGTTAACAATAGCAACCTCGTATGGAGTTCAAGCACGTCCCGATCTCAAAAATATTCCTCTAGCTCCCTGACCATTGGTTAAGGCTTTTTGTTCAAAAACTAACAAAAGTGGATACCAGTGTGCATGTCGGAATCTTCGCAACCCTCGAAAGAATTCAAGATAATTGAACCGTTCGTGCTAACTTCTCTCCAAATTCATGTTGCCCTTCTTTTGGCTCCGAGACTCTGTTGTCTTTCACATCACTCGAAGAAGGCAGAAATCGCTTACCTCACAGAGGTTGTGTTGAAAAGTCTTTCAACAGTCGAGAAATTTACGCATCATTACAGCAAACACCTCACAGAAAAAGTAGGATCCAAAAAGGTAATCATTCAAATACGCATGTAACAGTTCAGTTGAACATTGAGAGATGAAATATAGTGACTCTTGAAAAATAGATTTGAAGAGGAGAAAACTACACAGGAAACACGGCAGCTTCACTCTCGTAGGGAACGCGCACATTTTTAGATCTGATTCGGGGAGAAAGAAAGTGAGCCTTCTGAAGAAGTCTCCTGCAGCGCTCCCTTTTTCGCAGAAACTGTTGCAAATTCCTGCATAGCTGGGGGAGCAACAGGTAAAGAGTCTGCCCTCTCCTGCTGGCTTAACACGCCCGTCTGATGAGGTATGCAGACGGGCACTAATGACAAGTACAGCCCGGGGACGAGATTTGTGCTGAACTCTGTCGTGCTGCAAACATTCACGACGGGACTATAGCTGGTCCTGTCGCGAATGAGCAGAATAGGCGGGAATAACAGTTCCACTATGATGTCACAGTAATCGCAAATACAGCCGAACGTTTCTAAGCTGCAGCCTAACCTAGCGCAGCGGTACTACTACTATGTGCTGCTGACCCGATATCTGCCCTGCTAAGCGCATCCGCACTAGTACTGTGTACTGCTGACCGGGAATCCTCTTGTCTTGTCTAGCCCTACTACTAGGTGCTATTGGGGCAGGTCCCGATGCGACATTGCTACAGTATGTAGTGTTTCAAAACACCAGACCGCGAGATTGATTGCAATCACGTTTTCATTGTCCTCCTTCGGCTTGCGGACTCCACCCACCGTTTTTTCTTTATATCGTCGTTTTTCAATTTTTTGTTGTTCGTGATGTCTTTTAGTCCTAGAACGTCGGGTACCAAGGGAGCTAATACGATTCTTTCGGAATTTCACTAAATCAATGAAGGGGAGCATTCAATGGAGTTCTGCTCCTATCGGCGGTGGAGAAAGGAGATGGTGTCAAGTTGTTCTGGAAAAAGAGTTTAGGAATTGTACGCGTGAACTTGGAGGTTATGATGTAGTAATTGAAATTGAAACTGTCGAAGTAGTAGTTGAATGTGGAAGTTAAAATAATTTTGCAAAACAGTGAAAATGATTTGCTTATGCCTTGTGCCCACTTACGCGTCCATTAAGGGTCTCAATTATGGCCTTTTGCTGAAGAACACTTAGCGCCATTGTTGTTTCGTATGGTCACAATTATACTTTACTTTGCATAGAAACGATGGGAAAGCCATTTTGACAACGACAGATATTTTTTCTTTATGAATTGTCACGCTATCTGGTTGGTCTCCTTCGACCCATTTCCATACGTCTTTTTGATAGACATTAATGTTTTTATACCCATTTTCGGAGATTAGGCCCGACGGTCGTTGAAACTTTCCGATACTCGGCGCCAAAAAGAGCCTGAAGCGCCGAAGCAAGGAATAAAGCTTCGGTGACCCACACTTTTTCGCTTCCAGAAGCTGCGTTTTATGCTTGTTTAGACAGGTCACACACTTGTTCTGGCTCGACAAAAGCTTGTTTGCAGATTATACATGGCCCGAGTAGACTGCGTAAGAAGAGCTCGATTGTACAGTGGTCGGAACACTGGAGAACAACTTAACGCGAATGAAGCTAACAGTCTGCTGTTACCCTCTCTAGACGACGATACCGCTCAAACGCTTAAGGGCAGGGGAGGGAGGGTTAGCACAGCGGTAGGAACAACCTCACTTTCAAAAAAACGCAATGAATAAGAGTACAAGAAAGCGGTATAAGTCTCGATACTTCCCCAAACTCGTTGAGAGAAGCATTCGCCGAGTTTCAGTTCCTCTCAAAGTATGTCTTTACGTAGAAGTAGAGCGGATAAAAGTGCCTGCTCGAACTTGAGAGGCCTTAAAGGAAATCTGCGCAATCCTTAAGAACGATTAAGATCGATGCGCCTGGCAGGACGATACATGCAGCCGTACTTACCGTAGCTGTCAATATGCCTACTGGGGAACTGTCCGAACTCGTTTTTCCGCCATTTCCCACTACATAGCATCGTAGCATTTTGGACCGGGTACCACATTATCGCTCCACATCCCTATAAATTGACCCACAGTCTTATCAGTTGGCATCTTATCGCATCGGTGATTGATCTCCATGCTTGGTACGACTCTCCTCTCTGTCCCTAAATTCAAAGCTTTCTTCCAGACTTCTGTTCATGCTTCACTTAAGGTCGACAACCTTTATAATTATTTATATCATAAACAACAACAATAATATTATGGCTATGAAAGAAATAAAAATGATGCTGACCCTCTCTTTCCTTCACTCACATCTGTCACACAATACTCGAGCTCCTTCTCAGAAAGCGGACCCTACTCCCCCGGTCACTACAATCCCCTAAATGAGAGATCCTTGACCTAGCCGTAACAGAGATGGAATGTAAGTTCTTTTGACCGAAAGCCGAGAAGGTTCTACGTGTGAACGTAACTGAAAGAATCATGGAAAGACGTTAGGGTGCTAAAGTACAGGGTGAGCGACGTTAAAATCAGATCGACAAAGCCGCCACTGTAAAAACGGTAAGGTAGCAGAAGTTCCCTTCCGTCGAATTTCCTCCTCTGGAACGACCTCCTTCCCCATCCTATCTCCCACCACACTACGTTTTCTCGGATTCCTACAACTTTTATAACTTTCAGGGAGGAATGGGGGGGGGTCAGAGATCAGTTACACATTTCAACTATCAGACTATCAGATCAGAAATGGTTCGTAGCTATATAGTGCTTTAGCGAGGGGGGGGGGAGCGGGCGGTATCGCATCCACCCGACCAAGCACTGCCCCTCTCCCCCTCTCTTCCCTGGCAGGTTGATGATATGGATACGTATTATTCAAAAGTATGCATTGAGGAGATAAAAAAGTATGCTTTAATGAGGTATAGGACTTCGTAGCTCGCGGCCTGACCAAGATGTTATCAAGAATAAGCAAGCAGCAGAGAAGTACTTGAGACCTAGAGAGGAAAGAACTGAACGTAGATAGACCTAACTTCTCTCACTATACGATCTCTGCAGATCACGTCTCAAATTACCAGAGTCACAGTTCTTTCACATTTAATCCTGGAATGTTTTTCTTAATAGTAGTATTACCTTCCTACGCTGCATAGAAAAGGACCAGTTCTATTTCAGACTGTGTGAGTTTCCCGTACTGGGATGGAACTACTTCTTTTGATTGCTGCTGCTGTTTTACTGCAACAAGGCCACACCATTGTATTGTCGAGGTATTTTGACTTTCAGCAGACAGTTGCTATAGCTGGTCAGCTGGATTGCAATGGATCGCCAGCACACGGCGGCTGGGTGGAATTACGCGATAAAGGTAATTCTGAGACAATGGTTCACCGGAGCAAGTTTGTCGGTTGTGAAGTTAATATACAGGAGACATCGAATTGCTGGATAGAGAAGGAAGCAAGATTATCTATCAAAAGTATTCTGAAAGAAATTTCCCTAAGCGCAGTGACTTTGACATTATGCGAATCACATTACTCAAAAAGCTCTTTGGTGCTTCGAACAAATTCTAGAGAACAACGAAACACCAGCACTACTTACAAGTCGCAGCCGAAAGCTCCGGAGTTCCAGTCGGATCCAATCAATAATTTTCTTCTAGGGCGTATTTGCCCAAAACTTAGCCCACGAGGGTAACTTTCCCATGAAAAGGAGTAGAACATCGGTTTGAAACAAATGTGCCTGACGTCCTGCTGCACTGGCGCCTGCGCCACAGGTTGTTTTGACGCTCGCACTCAGCATATTTGTCTTCAGTAGGTCGAAATACTCCTGGTGAGGGGTTTTGAACAAATTGGATTCCTTTGGATGTGTCGGCGCCGGCACCTGCGGTGCAGCACCAGGCGACACGAGCGGCCACGGCTTTCGTGCTGAGGCATAAAAGTGTTTCGTAATCAAAATTCCAGTAGAATCTACCAGCAGCTTAATTTCAAATAGAGTGGGCCTCTGATTACTGTAATGTTTACGAAGATTTGAGAACACG